AATCCTACTTGGATATAAGTCAAAAGACAAAATTTCAAAATTAATAAAATAATAACTTATTTTCTTTCTGAATTAACATGCTTATAATTATGAAAATCTCATCTAGACTTTTAAAATAAAACTAAATTTTTTTTTCAGCTGATCACACATAGCTTTCCAAAAGAATGTGTGAAATGATATTTCATGTGGATAGTATGTAATTTTCTGCATTATTGTGTGTATATGTATGTGAAATATTTTATTTTTTTACAGTTTTATTTTTTAATCTTTCACATCAATTCTTCCAAAACAAACTTAAATTTCGTCGGGACTTGAATAATCGAGCTCGATAGCATTCAAGATTACAAAAACATGTGAAGAGATATTGTCAATGCAACGTGTCAGTGCTTTTCTTTGAAGTTATTAATAAAGTCGTAATCGAGAAGAGACCCCTTATCACATGTGTCGTATGTGCAAATACTTGATTTTCTACGTCATTCTTCTTTAATTGGGCCTAACAAGATATGCCAAATATGTATAAATGATTCACATTTGAAAATCGACAACTCGATAGTAGTGATTACGACTGTATAATCCCGATTAGTCGACTGTCAGCTGACATCCATTAAGGCACTTGAAATGCTAATCTCCTTGGGCGAAGCCCTTTGAAGAAAGTTAGAGCTCGTTTATCTACTTTCTTATCCATTCACGGTTCGCCTTCTATGGGGAATTGAATAGTCATGCATTAACATAGAAAATAAGCGCTAATATATATGTATATATATATATATATATATATATATATATATATATAGAGAGAGAGAGAGAGAGAGAGAGAGAGAGAGAAGAAGAAGGAAAAGAGAGAAAAAGGGGAAACATTTTTTAAATACGCGTAAAGCATTAGACTTTCTTGAAGCTCCACATACTCTTAGATAGGGATCACGTACTCTTAGATTAGGAACGTGTGTGCTCGGGGAATGTAAATTCGCGTAGTCGGTTCTTTTTTCTTTCCGGGATATCAAAATCTCTAACGACAAACGACTCTTCTGCGGCACTAATAAAATTTCCGCGTAATGAACTTCATCTCGTGCTAATAGCAACAGGAATGTTTTATTTTCCCATAAAAAGGACGGCAATTAACGTACACAGTAGCTAACTGCTCTCGTGTACTTTACGCGTTTTAAAACTTATATAAGCAAGAATAATCGACGTCACGTATCATATGCGAATATAAAAACATTTTTCTAGTCGAAATGCGAAAAACGTGAGCGAAAGAGCAAATATAACGTGAAAACGATACATGCATTTCAAACAAATTATTTATCTATAATGCCGAAAATATATAAGTAATTTTAATACAACTATATCTTTTAATATTTATATTGATGAAAGCACTCCAAATCTTGAAAGACATCACGAAAAGTCGAGAAAAAAATATTCAATAGTCAAAATAACAAAAAAAAACTCAATGAAATTGTCATTATCATAAATTCATTAACATTAGTATATTTCCGACATGTGCATATATACTCTAGATAGGAATAAATTTAGCTTATCATAGGAGGAATTGAATTGAATATACATATATTATATATAAATATCATATAAATATAATTCACGTATAATACGATCATAAAATTGATAATGAGTTAGATAACTTTAACATTGAGCAGTAATCTCTCTTGACAAAAGATTACAAAGATTGAAGCCTCAATTGTGCAAATTCTTGATAATTTAATTTGAAACATCCAGTGTTTTTAATTAACACTTTAATTAACATTTTTGAATATTACAAAAGCGATTCTCAAATTAGAATTTCGTAAATACGATTAGTCACATGACAATCTGAAATCGAGATAAAAAGTGACAGACAATGTGACGACATATTCCGGCACAAATATATGGACAAAAATGATGAAAGATAGTGTCATGTCATAATACATTTTCACCATCTATATGATGTGAAAGTAATTCATTGTAAAAACGTGATCAATTCTGCCCATAAAGATTCTATTGTAGCCTTCATTGCTTCTTTGCTCATCTAATATATGTATAAGTTATGTAATATGTAGAGATCCTTATTTATTATTTATCCGTCACAGAATCGATAATTGATTTACAGGATATGTTGAAGAATATGTCAAATGATAATCTCAAGATTTTAATAGATAATATTTACAAAAATGTGTGAGAATACAAGTTGAAAGTCAAATAATTATATCATAAATTGTGAAAGTTGTGAAGAGGGAACAAGATGTTCGATTATATCGAACGATCAGAATCAACCGTATCGAGATTTAAAAAATCAAAATTAAAAAAATTATCTACACTTTTTGCCAGAAATACAAGATGTATTAATAGGCCAAACATCACGATGTTATATGTAATCATTATTTATAATAAATATTTGTAATCATTATTTATTATAAAATTCCATTGAAAGTTCTATATCGTTACGATTAACGCACCTTAATCGTCAAATATTTTAATTTTTCTGGAATTATGTTTCTAATAATTTGAAATTTTGCATAAAATTTAATTGAATTTCGTATAAGCTGGCATGTGACGTTCGATTTGTAATTTTTGCAAGGGAGATATTATAAAGCGCGCTGAATTGGTCCTCTGGGCGAGGATTTTTGAAGGATCGGATTATGAAAGGTATACAAGCACGAAAATTCGCGTGACTTAAGGCACTAACAGTATACTTAAGGCCTAACGCAGTGTCCTCTTCCTTAACATTAGAAGGCACTATTTCCTATCAGAATACAACACATAACAAATGTTAATTTATCGACCCTCGCATTAATCTTACGCACGAAGTTTCTTCTTTTTAATGATAATAAACTGGCTCTCTAGTATATACTGGCATCTCGTGTTTCATCGTTTTAACTGGCTTCAGATGTCCAAGCTTTAATTGCATTATGCAGCGATTTGAAGAAACAGATTAATGCTATGCCATCTATGCAGATCGCGTTTCGCAAAGTTTCTAGAAATTATGTACACGATGTATATATTATTATACATCAAATGAGCGCATTGAGATTTTTGTGTCCCTTGCAGCATTTACGTGATTGTTTAATATGTAGAATCAGCGACCTTGGTATCTAAAATGTCTGATATTAAATTTCCTATTTTTTTCCTTTTCAATATTGCATTAATAAATCATATTTCATTTACAGAATATATGCATATATCTCATATTTCTTATATATGTATATTGTTATATGAAATGAACCATATAGATTTATTCTTGCATTGTGTGATAATTAACTAATTTTCGTTAATGACATATTGTACGATAATTTTAATTAACTAGTTCAATTAATCCCCTAGTAACATTCTGTTCTCTCTTATATACTTAAATATTTAATATATATGTATATTCAACTTTCAATTATCGTACGAATAAATTTTTATAGATTAATCAACATTAATTAAAATGATTAATCAACTATTATTTTTGGAATACGAGTCTAAATTATACACTTTTAGATTAACAATTCCGAAATCGTCAATTCGATGCATCACAAACATCCTGATGCGATTGTTATTTTGTAATCAGACGCAAAGAATGATGTCATAAATATACATGATAAAGTAGATCATTCTTGCAACAGATAACACAGAGCGTTTGAGCATATATTTGCTTTTTATAGGTACTCTGCGAATATTTATTGAGCTATTGAGTTTCCCATCAGGATGCCATCACGTAAAATGGGAAATAATATTTGTTGTTATTCATATGTTCATTCATATGTCTATGTCTCAGGATCAAAAATCTCAAAGCGCGTTAGAAAAGAATAATTTACTCGATTATGCTTTTATTTTCATAAAGCACGAAGTAGTATTAATTAGATATTTCATGATTGCACCTTCTACTTTGGCACTTTACGCGGAATTAAAATTTGACGATTTACGATTGGAAAAAGCTGTTTTTTTTTGCGACTAAAATGAAATTTAAAAAAAGCATTATATGTAATATATAATGCTATTATATATAATGATATTGCTTGTTACGCATTCATAATACTGGCTTTTGGGATGCCGACGTTCTATATCTCACTTCATTACTATATAATGAAAAGTTAATGATTGTCCGTCCCTAAACGCGAAATTCTTTGTGCATAATCGAAAAATTGCTCTATTAATGCTTTTACGTAATATCTACGATCACGATTGTAGTTTATTTAACTGAGCATGCTAAGTCCCAAGCTCCGTCACCGGAGTTCGATATATCATTTAGTTTATTCTAACCATTTACTTATCTTAATTAATTAATTAACTTTTTATATACTGGCTCTATTCGTCGTAATGTATACGATAAAATGGTGCTCTAGACTAGTTGAGCTGGCCTTATTTAAACATATATATATATATATATACATACGTATATATAATATATATATATATATATATATATATATATAACAAACTGAAAAATAGAACAAATAAAAATTAGCTAGAAACACAGAAGAGAACAGATACACGCTTATATATAATAACGATACGTCTTGTCGTGCCGAATCTATGACCTCGATTGCGATCTCAATCGCGCAAGCGGATCTTTCTTTCCTTAAAATCTTGAAGCATCCAAAAAATCATTGATGCGCCTTTTTATAAAAGCTCGACAATTGTAAAACAATTACCTTACTCTTGCGTTCAACGCTCGTAATTCAGACATCGGCTCGATTTATTGTAGCTGCAAGGAAAGATCCATCGAAAGATTCGCAAAAGACAGCATCAAGAGAACCAACTGATCAAAGTTGATCGGCATCGCGATTATTCAATTCGCGATTAAGCGTTAAACCTAATGAACGATTTGTTTGCTTCGTCAATCTATTTTCTCTTTTCCTAGTTGCTGCCCGTCCGATCGACCGGTCCGTCTTCGTGAGAAATTCGGGACGGGCCGGCTCGCGACGCGGCTCTTCAGGTCCCAAATGTAAGAAATATCATCGTCCGTCTCTCGCTCGCATCCAGGATCACTCGAGATCACTGGCCTATTGTCGAGGACCGTTTCTCACCTTCGTTTCTCGTCGATCAACGTGCGTTTTCTCTCGCGTCGCACGACTCTGTGGACGGTCCTTTTCATCAGTGCCTCTTCATGTGAAGCGACAAATGGTCGCTTCGCGAGAACGATCGCTGATAGAGATGGCACTTGAACGGCTTTTGGCCCGTGTGCTTGCGATAGTGCCGCGTCAGCTCGTCCGATCGTGCGAATTTCCACGTGCAACCTTCCCACGTATACTGATATGGCTTCTCGCCTGCAACAGATAATGAAAACATATCTTAATGATAAAAGTATAACTGGATGTAATACTTTAGTATTGAAAATTTTTATTTTTTTATGCTAGGATAAACTTGCATATAAAAGCAGGGCTTCAAGTATTAAAAGCACTTAAAATTTGATGCTTATTGTTTTGATTTTAATGCACTTTTAAATCATTTGAAGAATTTAATATAAAAATCTCGTGTGTTTAAATAATTGTTCAAAAATTTTTTTTTGGATTTAATTAGAAAAAAATTATAAAAGAAGAGATTAAAAAAACATAGAATGCTATTTTAATTAATATATTTAGAAATTTATTATTGACAATTACTAAAATATTCTAATAACTATATTTTAATAATTTCATAGAAATATACAATATTCTACATAGAAACTTTATCGCGATAAAATTTCAATGCGTTAAAAATGTAGGTTTTGCAAAAATTAATTTTTTTTTAATTTGATGTAATGTGGATATTGTTAAACATAGTTGTCTGTTATACGTAATTTATGTGAAATTTATGGAATATCTAAAAAGAGAAAGAAGGAGAGAGAGATAAAAATAGGCAATCAACATCAATTGTATTAATCAATGAGTCATATGATGACTAAAAATAATAATTTATATCCTAATGTGCACAGTTAAATTTTATTTAGTGGTTATATGATTGTTGAGTATACTCATTTATCAAATTAAAATAAGTTCGTTAAATATATATTACATACATTAAATACATATTAAATATATGTTTAAATTAATCTTAATATTGACAATTTCAAGAAAATACATTGTAATTAAAGTTTCTTGTTAAATTTGAAAATTTAATTTTTGTTTCAACATGCAATATGTGACAAATCTGGACAGTTTTTTCAAACATTATAAAAATTAAATTTCTTATTGCGTCAATTCGATGTAAGTTTAAGTACATATTTCGAAATGTGTTTATACATATGTGTGAAATAAGGCATACATAGTGTACATAATAATTACATAATAATTTGAATAACGCAATAATATATTTTATTGTACATACAGTTGTGCGTATTGCTTCGTCAACAATTATATTCTGCTTAAATGCCCGCAAATTGATACGAATTAGAGTGAATTCGCGTGAATGACGCAGGCCTTTATCGTTCATGCATAATTGACTTAATACATGAAAAAGAGAAATAAAAAGAGAAAAAAATACAATATCATACAAGGTCGCAAGATAACGCAAGTATATATAAGAAGTTCTACAGAAGTTCTACAGAAGTTCTAAAGAATCTTCTTCAAACGTATCTCTTTTAAAAATCAGTCGAAAATTGAATATTATTGAGTATTGAATATCATAGACCTCTGAATTGTTGAGATATCATGGTGTCTAAAGTATTTGTGATATTTGTAGTAATAATTAGCTTATTGCTATTGGCTTTGCAACTTTCTACTGCACGTAAGTGTTTAATATGTTTTTGCACGGAAAAAAAAATTACAGTACAAATTACAAAAAATATATTCTCTTTGACAACATTGATTGTAAATCTGGAATATAACGACATTAAAATATTTTAAATTATTTGTTTTATTGCTTATTATACATTTGTTTGTGTATCAAAATAATTGAATAATTACAATAGTTCTTTATAAAATATAATACGTATATATAATATTATTGAATAAAAATATCATGATTTCTCTTTTATATTAATATATTTCACGATTATATATATTAAAATATATTATATTTAATATATATTATACTTTTTACTATATTTTCTCCGTGTATTATCCATTAATTAATCAACTTTATATTTTATACTTAAAAGTTCTCATTGTTTACATAGAGGAGGAACGAGAATGCGTACAAGGTGAAAATTATTTTGATGGATGTAACAACTGCTTCTGTGGTAATGGCATTTGGGAATGCACTAAAAAATATTGTGGTTCATGATGATTCCACCACCCGATGACTTTTGGCAAACAGATGTTGAACAAGACTAATTATTATATATTATTGTATAAAAAGTAAATGTATAAATAATAATTTACACAAGTACACCAGTATGTAATATTAATATATCTGCATATCTTTATACATGTTTATTTCTTTCGGAAATAATAGTTAGTAGAATAACTAGATTGCGTTATGCGATTTAAAAATATGATATAAAATGTGTGTAAAAATAGCTTCAACGTTTGAATCAAAAGTAAAATATTCAGTTAAACATTAACTTTGAATTCCACAAAATCTGATAATCTAAATAAAAAATCAATTTAAATTTCTCGATATACAATTGTATCAATTTATTTATCATTAAAATAATTTCGATCTCATAATCTCATTGTACGCCACGTCACGCTACGAAACTATCAATCCTCCACAAAAAGTCGAAACAGAAGTGAGGAATCGTTTTCATCCAGATGATTGTGGAAACGGTTCGGCAAATAATCGCCATCAAGTTCAATCTCTTCGTGCAACTGTCGAGTCGAAAACGGACGGCGAATCAATCCGTTATGATCAGGTGGTAGATTTCGCGATCCCATTAAATCTAGATCGAATAATAATCTTGAATCGAGCGACGAAGACGATGACGCGTCGTCTCTTTAAATCTGATCTGGAGATGGAACATCGCGACCGTTTAATCGACATACATATTTGCGTCCATCCGCGAATTCTTTCGAGAGCGGCGCTTCTCCTCAGTTAATTGCGGATCGTAAGTCAGCGGGTCAAGATAAGAAGTGTTATTATCGCGAGGATCAAGACGGGGGAGCGGGAAGCGGCGCTTAACCCTTAATTTGGTATTTGCCCTTGTAAATGGCCGGTGTTAAGGCACAAGCGGAACAATTATCGCGTCGCGGGACGTGAGCCAAGTTGCTCCAACGCAAGACGAGGCAGAGTTAACACACACATTTATTATTACGCATTAGGAACGATTAATCTTTATAAATCGGACGTTTTAATTATTGAGCGATGCGCACGCAAAGAGGGAGATATAACCGTGAGATCGTTTTAATGAGAAATCACGCTTTCGATACATCCTCGCGGCGATTTCGCGTGGAAGTGGAGGTATTTCCTTCTGCGCAAACATTCCATCTTCCCCTTTCATCTCGCAATTTATCCCATTCTGTCTAAAATAATGGAATAACGCGCAACTCACAATCTCGGAAAATGGATTAGCATCGTTATTATAGTTAGCGTTACATTGTCCGTAACAACTAGTATCGCGAAAGAAAGAGAGAGAGAAAAAGAAAGGCAGTCACTATGGAATATTAACGCCACCTTTTTGACAGTACCGCGAGGCTAATTACCGAACGGTAATTAACGAGGTATACTCTACGTTCTTGAAAGCCGGCCGTAATTAAAGACGCGACGCAAAGGGAACGGCAGGTTGCCGCGCGGCTGGAAAGGATCGAGCTTTAGCGGTGCCGAGCAAAACGGCGGGGCGCGGATGATCGAAGGCACGCTCTCCGCGCCGTAGATCTAAATCGGCCGTTTTAACGTCCCGACGTCCATCGGGCGGAATATTATTGCGCAACGCGCCGGGGATATGCGAACGACTAATGACGTTACGAAGGAAATCGCGCGCGCGCGCGTATACGCGTTGCGTAATCGTGAGTAATTAGTCCATTTACAACCCGTACGAGGTGCACGTAATATCGACCGATGGGCGAGCGTCGCATTAGTTTTATCTCCGTTATTAATGTATTTCGATCGCGTTTTTTCGCGTTTTATTGCTCCATAGATTAACGTCGCGTTAATCCCTCCCTCCGTTTGTGTTTTACTTTCTTTCCCGTCAAGTTACTTAATCATAACTCGAGCGAGATTGGCCATTTACTTGCGACGTCGTTCTCATTTGCGACAGCGCGTGTGCATCCACGTATAAAGAGCGAAGTGTAATGAGTTAAATATAAAATTGAAGAAATAAATACCTTCGAAAGATTCAAATTGTTCCTGATTACTTAATTAATTTTATTTTCTGAGCATTTTTATGCCTTATTTCTGAAAATTAATGAGGCAGAATTAAATTGCAGAAGCTATGTCCTCTCAATTTAATTTTTTTCCAATTTAAGATTTTACTAAAAAAAAACTAGCCAAAATACATAACTGAAATTATAAAGAGATTCGCATAAAAATTGCTTATATTTTATTACTTATCAATCGCGACTGAATTCCGTTCGTGTCAAATTCTTATTCTGGTATAGATAGTATTATTTCTTCGTCTTACATTTGTGCATATTTTATAACTTTCTAATGAAGCCACACGACTATTAAACTCGCCGCATATCATTTTTTTTGCGATGCAAATGCACGTGATTCATTTATCATTGCATGCGGAGACATTGTTTAATTATCGCGTAATAGCGTGTCTCGTTCTTTGTTACATTTCAAGATAGCGAGATAGATGGGACTATTTATCTTGGAACACAAGTCTACTAGAGTCACGCAGAGCGAAACTTCGAAAGCAGTGTTGTATCGTATTGCGATGATATACAAATAAGATGTTGCCTATGATGTATTAATTACAAGTTACAAGTCGGAGGAAATGATAAAGTAAATGTGTACGTATAAATGTATACACACACACACATAACATGGATTTATTTTCACACATAACATGGATTTATTTTCATACACAAATTGCATTAATCTTCTTCATAAAAAAGATGGAACTATTTATGTCATATTATGTACATTGTTGGCTACATTAGCCGTGGATATTATCGCTAAATCTGTAAAATTGGCAGCTTGTGCACGGTACATTTCGCAATTCTAACGTTTGACTATCAGTTAACGAAGCTGTACATTTCGACACATTTGCTGCGCGAAGCATATAATTATCAC